GAAAGAGGCAGCTCAGAGGAATGAAGAGCAGATGTGGATTAAGCCATAATGCCTGTGACTTAGGGAGAAGCACAGACCCAACCAGATTTGTTTTCTTCAAAATGAAGGGGTTTGCTTTAAAAAAAAATAAAAATAAAAAAGGCCACCTACCTCCATATGTTCCTTAGCAGTATCTGAAAAGCCACTAGATTCTAACAGCTTTCTCCAATACCTGTGATTCTTTTGAGGGTGTAGTTTTATTGTAAATAAACAACATGTTTTTCATCATTCATAGAAGCTCCTAATCCTCTTTTTCTACCAGGACATGCTTAAAGCATTTGATAACTACAAGGCAGTGGTGCTTTCTGTTAACATGAGCAGCAAAGAATTCCAGAAAGCGGATAGCACAGAGTTCAAAGAGCTTCAGAACAGGCTTCGGAAGGTGAACTTGCATTGGGAAAAAGCAACTCGTGCATTGGACAACTGGAGGAAAAGTTTACAACAAGCCCTACTGCATTGCCAGGTGCATACCACGTGCCAGCTTATAAGGGAAAACTCCTCTTTAGGGTGCTACTGCAGGGTAGATAAGGGGAGAGGGCTGAGGGGTAATTCCTGCACATTGGTGGAATGGTTGCTCAGAATCCAAGACAATTTTCTTATAAACTTGACTCCGTTGGGTTTAAAGGATTTGGTAAAAATATCTTTGAACTGGGTAATATCCTTTTGTTACATAGGTGGAATAGTTTAACTAGGTTGCTGTAGCCTCACTAATCATGAATTTGTTGTTGGCTCTGTCTAATCTGGGCTGGTCATTTTGTTTGTAGGCAAAGCCAGGTGAAAGCACTGCAAAAGTGTGTTTTCTCTTATGTGTAAATCTTTTGTTTCTCTAGGACTTCCATGATCAGAGCCAAAAACTAATCCTGTGGTTGGCAAGTGCTGATAGCCGAAGGAATGAAGCACAAATCACAGATCCAAATGCTGACCTCAATACGATACTGGAATGCCAAAAGGAGCTAATGGTAAGTCTAGTCTTAACTACAGCACCTCAGCTCTTCCAGTGAGTCAGTAGCTCTCACCACAAAATGAAGACCAGTATGTTTATTTCTCAAGATGTCTATGGCCTGTCCTCAAACCTGCTGTATTCAGGCACCTGCCTGGTTTCTGAAATGGACTAAGAGATTGCCTGTGTGAGGCATTTTTTCCAAAATTATACATCATAATTAAGTTCCATATGAACAGCATTTATGCTGGAGTAAGACTTCCAGTTTCCAAGATTTAATGTCTTTTCCCTATGGATTAATTACTGCTAGAACTATTTCTAAATGTTAGTTCAAGCAGGTACAACCAGTCTCTTCAAGAGAACTTTGTATGTGGCTGTAATAGCCATTCCTACGTAGTGCAGATTCCCAGGCAGGTTGAGTTGTTCTTTAAAGCCTTCCAGAGTTCCTCCTTTTGTGAGAACATCCCTAAAATTGAGACTAACAGACTGTTGCACTGGTTTTTGTTTGTTTGTTCTAAGCAACTGGAGAAGGAGCTGCTGGAACAACAGCTTAAAGTAAATTCACTTCAAGAACTCACTGCTTATCTGCTGCTTAAATCCGATGGTGATTACATTGAAGCTGATGAGAAGGTCCATGTAATTGGAAGGAAACTGAAACAGCTTATTGAACAAGTTTCACATGACTTAAAAACAATACAAGGAAATCTGGTGAGTCAGACTTTAAATAGTTACTGATGGATCTGTCTTACTGAAAAGTAATAACATACCAAAAGTAAAGGTATTTAGAAAAGACTGGCTTAAAATTTAAGTATTTCTTCCTTCATAAGTTGAAAAAAGAATAATTAATTCTGGCTATAGGAAAAACTTCAGCACCACAAGGCTAGTATGGTATTGAAACGGAATGTCCAGAGGATTTGTGCAGTCTCTGTCCTTGACGGGTTTGAGGAGCAGACAGAATAAAGCTTTGAACAAGGCTTTTGGTCTGGTCTCATAGCTGACCTTGCTTTGGGCAGGAGGTTGGACTAGATGAACTTCCTGAGGTCCATTCCAACCTGAATAATCCTATGAGCCATACCAAGTATCAGGCTAGGAGTGTGTAAGGAGCACATAGGAGTTGTAGTTCATAGCAATACAGTGCTTATCCTGAGAGCTGTCAGAGAGAGATTTTCAAGTGAATACCTGTACGCACCACTTCCATCATACTTCCTTCAGGTTGTGCATAGTTGTCATAGTTTAACCCCAGCTGGCAGCTAAGCCCCACACAGCCGCTTGCTCACTCCCCCGCAGTGGGATGGGGGAGAGAATCAGAAGAGTAAAAAAAGTGAGAAAACTCATGGGTTGAGATAAAGACAGTTTAATAGGTAAAGCAAAAGCCACGCACGCAAGCAAAGCAAAACCAGGAATTCATTCCCTGCTTCCCATCAGCAGGCAGGTGCTCAGCCATCTGCAGGAAAGCAGGACATGTAACGGTGACTCGGGAAGACAAATGCATTACTCCCAGTGTGCCCCCTTCATCCTTCTTCCCCCAGTTTTATATACTGAGCATGACATCATATGGTATGGAATATCCCTTTGGGCAGTTGGGGTCAGCTGTCCCGGCTGTGTCCCCTCCCAGCTCCTTGTGCACCCCCAGCCTACTCGCTGCTGGGGTGGGGTGAGAGGCAGAAAAGGCCTTGGCTCTGTGTAAGCTCTGCTCAGCAGTAACTAAAACATCCCTGTGTCACCAACACTGTTTTCAGCACAGATCCAAACCACAGCCCCATACCAGCTACTATGAAGAAAATTAACTCTATCCCAACCAAAACTAGCACAATAGTAAATCATTTCTTTATGCTGGTGGACTGCAGCATTTGTTTACCACTGGTTCTGCACAGCTGAAGAGGCTGTGGGCTGTGTACCTGCAGAGAGGCAATGAAAGATGGCTCTTTGCACTTCATCTGTTGTGAGTTTTGAATATGCATTTTAAGGAGGAAGGTGTGGTTACCTTTTAGGATACCAGAGCTTTTTTTTTAGTTCCAGATGACTTGGACTCGGGAGTCTATAAGCCAGTCACAGCCAAATCCAGCCCTGCTGTGAAGAAGGCAAGTATTTTTTTCTAATATCTTGCTATCGGTATACAGCATATTTTGACATATTTAACGTGAAAGTTCCTTAAATGTAATCATTTTACCCTTTAGATGCTTGTACCTTATTACAGAATTTACAACAGCAGTTGAAAGTCTACACCTGTCTTTTTCAAGAAATAGAAGTTCCTTGTAGTTTCTGAAACTCAGATAGTAAAAGCTATTTCTCTCAACAGATCCCTGCAAGGAGAACTGCAGATGGCAGAAACAGCAGCAGCACAAGGTATTACTTTATATTTGCCTGGTCTCTTGAAGGATAGTGAAAACGGCAGAGGTGAGCCGAGTGCCAGCAGAAGCCTGGGCAGCTGTTCCTCACAGGTTGACATGCAGGTGGAGGTGATTTCTGCCCACCCGTAGTGTCTCCTCCACCTACCAGCTCTGGGCTGCACCTTGGTGAATGGTTTCCTTTCGCACTCCTACTCCTAGACCTCTGCACCTTGTGCAACCTTGGCTTGTCTTTACTCTTGAAAAAATACTTTTGTGCCAAATGAGGGAACGTTTTAGTTTTAAGTCTTTAATTCCACCAGCATACCTGGAAAAAGAAACTTGCAGCTTAGAGCCACTTACTACAAGCAGACCAGGAAGGGCAAAGGGAGAACTTCCCCCACAGTGGGTTAGGGCTTGGTCAGAGGGTAGACCTCGGTAATGCCAAGGCAGAGAAGAGCCTCATCAGTCTGAATGGTGGCTTTCCTTTTTACTTCAACGTGCATTTAGAGTGGTTTGTTTGCCTCCTGAGACAAGTTAAGCTTGTATCTGAAAATGAAGTAAAAACACACTGATCTAAGCTATTACAACTAAATGTTTGGACAGTAAACTCAAAGCAGCAGCTGGCTTCCCACTGAGCAGTCTTGTATGCTGTGAAGTTAAGGTTAAAGTGTTTAATGTGCAATGCATTTTCCTGTAGACACGCAGCCCTGCATCTTGGAAGGGTGGTGTGAACCCTAGAACAGGGGGTTAAAACAACTTGTTTAGTTCAAACTCTAAAGTGCCTTTTTTTTTCTTTTTTCTTTTTTTCCTCATTTTCAGAGATGAAAGCCATCCACAACCTATTCAAGCAACTCCTCGGTCTCCTTCCTTTTTTTACCGTGTATTACGAGCAGCTTTACCTCTTCAGTTGTTCTTTCTACTGCTTTTACTTCTGGCTTGCATGATTCCATCCTCCGAGGAAGACTACAGCTGCATCCGGGCAAACAACTTTGCCCGTTCTTTCTATCCCATGCTGCGATACACCAATGGGCCTCCACCAACTTAGAAAGCAGCCCGTGAATCTTCAGTCATACCAAAACACGCTCTCAGCTAAATAAAGCCTCACGTTCATAGCCTCTTTTCACTGTCGCAGGGAATCTGTTAAATTTCACATCTCAAAATGTATATCTTGACAAAATTTCAGCATTTTTGTACTGAAAACAAACTTTTTCTATAGATTTTTAAACTGTAAGCAACACACTTTATACTTTGATGCAATAGATACACTATTTTATAGGTGCAGTGCTCTTAACTTCCCAAGGTGATTGAACACTGAGTTATTAGATGCAGAAACTACATCACAGTGATCTGAAACACAGCAGTCTGGCTCGGGTTAGCACAACGAACAAGCAGTTGAAGAAGCACTTGGCCTAAAATGATTACCACACACAGTTCACGTTACCTGTATCTTTTGGTACTGTAGTCACTTGGTGGAAACAAATGAAAAAAAAAAATCTCCATCTTTTTGAATCTTTGTTATTGTATTTTATTCATCTAACACATTCAGTAAAAGGATGCACGTTTGTTTTGTTTTACATATAGTGTTCTAGTGGTTAGGGCTGCTGTGTTGTGTTTTTATACCACCTTTGAATAAGAAATTGTTGCATTGCATGGAAGTGGTTTATAATGCACATATTTTCTAGATGAACACGATTATGTAGACTATTCCCGATGTATACAAATAATGTAATGACTTTTTTAATGAAAGATTTTTTTCAGTTTTTAACTTGCTGAATAGTGTACAGTATCTTGGGAGAGAATTGCACATTTTTATAAGCTTCATCTTTAAAATGGAACTGACTTGGGCAATGGCTGGAGGATCACTGTGTACGGTCAGCGTTGCCATTGCATCTCTGTTGTACAGTTCGAGTGCTGTCATTAAAATTTTGCTAATGGCTGCAGAGACTTTTGGTGTGTCTAGTGGGGGGGGGGGCGACCAGCTGTGTGTTCCAACAGTGCTGACCCTTCCACCCCTGTAAAAGTCAACTTATTTGCATGCTAACGCAACAGCATCCAAACATAACCGCTCTCTTGCTTGGCAGAGCAATAGATGAAAAATTCAGTGGAGCCTGTGTTTGGTGGCACAGATCCTTTCCTTGGCAACTGACTGTAATTTCCTGGAGGAAGAATACAAAGTTGAACCAATTAGTGCTTATTATGCTGAGCTATTTCCCCACCCTGGAACTGATTTTCTAAACAAGGAGTTATGGCTGGAGAGGGGGAAGTGCACGTCAAGGAGAGCTCAGTGCGACAGTAAGGGGTTCGGTTGAACACGAAGAGATTTTGTGTTTGGTTTTTGTGAAAAATCACCCAGCAGTTAGCCAATTTCTGTAATGCTTACCTATAGAAAATGGGATTTGTGATCAGCCTGTGAGAATTCTCCTACCTTTTCTACGTTTGTCGACACTAGTGGTTGCATGTTCTCATCTTCTGGCAGAGGGATTTATGAAGCAAGTGGCTTTGCATTCTTATGTTCAGAGACGGACAGTCCTGCGTAGCAAACCAACAGCTTCTTCCCAACCATGGTGGCAAAAAAAGCCTGGTTTATTTCCAGGGTGTTAAACTAAACTGATTTGTTAACTGTGATGCTGTTAAGCCTGCAAAGTTGGCAACGTGGTTTAGGAAAGTCAAAGATTACAATTTGGCACTTTATAGTAGCGGCACCGTACAGTGGTTTAGAGCCACACTGCGCGCTCAGATACGGGTCGAGATGGGCTGGCCCCGTACTGGCGTGTCTCGGCCTCGGTAGCAGTGCCCGGGCTCCAGCCTGCTGAAGGCGCACGGGTCCGGCAGCGCTGCCCAAGCCGGCAGCTTGCACCGCCTGGGAGCCGGCACACTGCTCTGCCTCTGAACCAAACTTGTGCTACAGCTGCCGCTGTTACAGCTCCAGCTCTCGCAGTAGCGCCGTATCATGAGATAAGGGATGGATCCTCCCCGCCCCTTGCCGCACAAGGGGACATGCTCTCCTCTCTCCCTCTGCCATCATTATTTTGTATTTTGAAAGCAATTATTTTCAGATGGAGCTCATTTAAGTTTCTTTCTCTGTAGAAGTCAGCCAACTCTTAACCATTATTCCATTGCCAGGTTGTCACAAATGCCCATGCAAACCTTTCTGCCAAGAACTAATAGTCAGTTCCTGACATGATATTCAGTTCTTCTGCCATTAAAGAACCTGTGCAAGGGGAAAAAAATTTGAACAATGTTAAAAGGTCTAAAGAAAATTTCATAGCCTGCAATTTCCTTTCATTATGTACAGTTATATGAAATTGTTGAGCTGATGTAATATATAAAATGAGGAGCTTTCATGAAATTATCTCAAAATGTCACCAAAAAAAATAAGTCTGGGAAAATAACTTAAATGTTTTTTCCCTCAAACCTATTTAAAATAGTTTTACTTCCAGCTGATTATAACCACTGCACTGTAGGCTGACACTGAAGTCTGCTTCAAACAAGTCATTATGTATACCCCCCAATTTCTTGGTGTCGCCCTTTTGCTCGGGACTGGGTTGTTAGCATTCAGTGAAGGGGGAAAAAAAAAAAAAGGATTTAAAAAGGTAAAAGGAGGGAAGAGCAATAGTGAGAGCAAGCGTGCCTGCGTGCGCTTTTGCACGTGTTGTATGTGGGAATGAAACCAGGCCAAAACTGGTTTTGAACTGGAGTCTTAATCCTTCCACAGGGAGATGTGGCCTCAATCTATTTGCAACTGTACCTGCCCCCCCCAAATAGTCACCCCCAGTTCTGCCCGGATGGGGAGCGGAGCACTGTGTGTTTATTATGGCTTGCCCCCCCACCCCCCATGGTTACACTTGTGGGTCCCTGGAACATGAGGGCACAACCTGCATCTTCTGTGGTCACTTGGTGCTGGGAAACCTCCTCAGAACTTGAGGAGTACCTGACATGGTAAAATCGACCCGCAGCTTGTGGAGTGACTGCGGAGCTAAGGACGAGACGCTTCTCACAGACACTGTCATCAGGCGCTTTAAATGCTCGTGAAACCGGGCTGAGGTCAGCTACAGGAAAGAAATGAACAAAAAGCCGCGTAGTTAAGTTTCATGATACCTGTTTATTCAACCACAACAATTACACTGGAATGAAATGCAACTCACTAGGCAGATGCTGTAAGTTCACAGCACTAAAGAGCAGCCAAGAGAAAGGGAGGGAGTTTCACCGTTACTATAACCTACATAAGGTGCTTCAAAAGGCGCCAACTTCAGTCCTAAACCCATCTCCATTATGAACTTGCAGTGAGACTGAAACATTGAAACTAGAACGTATAAAAAGTTGAACAGAAAACTCTGGGGAAGACAGACATAGGAAATGAGCAGTAACCGCCGTTAATGGCTGTGCCAGCTCCTTAGCACGCAACGTTGTGATGAGTGAAGAAGGGTTGTGTCGGTTCAGGCAGCAGCAGTCAGCGGCGTTTTTATGGCATAGCAACCTTGTTCATGCATTTCAGTTGAACCAACTCAACAATGCACGAGGACTGTAGGTGACTCCTGTGTAAAAAGATGGAAAGAGTTAAAAAATATCCAGATCATAAATAAAATGAAGCCTTAGCTATGAAACAGGTTCCATTTAACTCACCACACTTTGGTTCAGTAGTAAAACACTGAAGAATGAATGTAAATAATAGTTATTTTCCATATTTTAGCAATCCACTTGCTTTTCATGGTCCCATTTACAGTGCTGTCTTTAGTGTCGGTTTAGGCACGGGGTCAGCACAACAGATGACCACATCCTTAGCTGCTTTGCTGAATCATCATATCTTGCAGGACATAAATGACATCAAATGATTTCTTCTGAGACAAATGGTGATGACAGCAAAGGCATTTCCACGACTGCCAGCTCTGAGCATATGGAAGGATCGCAGGACCGTGCACCACTGGAAGGATTGGTGCAGCCTGCAGCTGGGCTGAGACTAAAGCAGCAGCCATGGTGGTGACCATCCTTGGCTGAGCTTACAGCCAGGAACGGGGGGGTTATCACCTACTCTGTGTCGTGGTTACAATTTAATCAATTCAAAATGTATTGCTAGTATGAGGTAAATCAAAGGTTGAATTTTAGCAGCCCTCAATGATTGATTTAAAGATTTACAAGTAATTCACTAAAATATATTATGATTAAAACAGTGACTTAATTACAGATTTGAAGATGACAACACTGACACTAACTTACTATAAGGTATCTTAAAGTGTATAGCTATAGCCATGTATATATAAAAACATGAAACATTAGACATGCAGGTACACACAGAAGTATTTGGGCCCAGTGCTATATACCACCCACACGTGTCAAGGCAAACGTGTATTTAACCACGAAGGTAAGGAGGGAGGTGGATGAAGGAAGCTAGCTTATAGTGAAAATTTCCCTCTGAGTTTGGAGTCAATACTGTCAATTCCTCGACGGGCAGTGGTTGTAGCTCGAGGTGGCTGACTTGCCCTGGCTATCCATCAGCAGACCGTCCTTGAGAGGTTCGTGCCCAAGAGGGGTCCCAGCTCAGGGGGATGCTGGTCACAGCCCGCTGCAATCCAGGAGAGCTCAAAGGGTCTCGCTTAGAATCGCTACTTACAGGATCTGAGCTGATGGACTTTTATCAGGTACTTTTCCACTTCAGCCCAGTGCGGATGGTGAAATATTGTGGTACTTTGCATTAGTGGTGCAGGCTCAGAACTTCTCTGGCATCTCCCCCTTTGGGCCACGGCCCAGGTATGCGTGTACCAGCCTGACCGGAGGTGAGCGATTGTCGTTAGTGTTCCCAAGCAATAAGGGAGCAAGACCGTCACAGTCCAAGCACAGACGTACCCGGCCGTTACCGACGCCAAGCGAAGCAAGAGCCGGGCATGTTGAGGGGACACCTTAACGCCCCAGTCTGCTGCCTGGGTTGGTGGCCCTGAGAAGGGGGAATTGCACCAAGTACCGAGATGCTCAAGAAGGGGGGGGAAATTGCACCACCACACTCTGCCATCCAGGGAACTGGGCAGAATATATTGATGTATATATATTGAA